GTTGGAGAGTTTTCCGTGTACACATGCAGTGACAGTGGCTATGCATAGAGGATTACCACCACACACCTTATGCAGTGTGTATTACATGATTGATTATTGGAGAGTAGCATATGCGGAAACAATATTGCCTGTACCAAATAAAGTCGAGTGGGAAGTGCCCGACCACATTCTCCCACTGAATAACTTGTTGCCACCAGCAGTTTGGACCACGTATTTCTGGACGTACACGTATGTCTAGAATACCATCTACCGGAGAGTTTCTCCAGCCTCGTAAGTGCTGTAGGTGCGGTGCAACAAGGCATACTAGAAGATATTGTACAAGTCAGATTCCTCTGCATGACAATGTAACGGATGTGTAATTTTAATAACTATTGGCAATGTAATTATTTATAACATTGACGTTAATTATTTATGCATATTATTTATGTGAATTATTAGATTTAGTATTTTTTCAAACATTTTATTCATTACATTCATTTGTTATGCATATTATTTATGTTAATTATTTGAAATCGAAACTTTTTGTAGACACTGCATTATACGGTAGGCTGCATTGTAAAATAAATATTTAAATATTACATAAATAATCAACATTTTACAATTCTTTCGTAATTATAAATAAATGAATGAACTGTACAATGTTTAAATAAATGTAAAAATATGTACAATTATTTACGGATCCCCATTAAATTCAAATAAATCACATGCTAGTTTATTTCTTCAATTTTGTATCCATGCCTGGTTGATTGCATCAACCTTATGTGCCACACTCAAAAATTCTATGTACTTGATGACGAACATGCCGCAATCACCCCTACAATTAAACAATGTTGTATTAACACATCGAAAATTAGTTAGAACTTAAGATGTAAATGACAAAAAGAAAATTACAAACACTTACGATATTTGCTGCCTCGTCGTCGTCGTGTTCCGCACGGTGGCCAATTTATCCTGTACAGTGATATTCACTCGTCTAGTCATCATGGGAACGATCACAGACACCAACTCTAGATTTTGTCAGGCATGAATGATCGGGATCGTACACATACATCGTGGAGTCGGCCAATACGATTTCCACTGCAATGTAGTGATGATTCACACATACTGGTATGTACATTTGCGTACAGCCATCCCATGGCTTTCAACCGACACTCGGCCACATCCCTACGACCCATTCCATCATATATTCCAGCACCGTGTACTCGCTACCCATAGCTTGGAACAACTGATACTCAATGTCAACGGCACGGATGAACTCGGTGTTCAATATAAGTCTGTCAGGAATGTTGAACGATTTTGAATTTCTTTCAGCACGATCTCGTAGCAAATCCATGCTCAAGTAGATGTGCTACATCAAGAAACACCAATAAAGAAAGGAGTTAATCTATGAATTTCATTCAAAAAATTGATTTTGAACATACATAATAAATAAAAATATTTTCATTTCACTTATATCGTCGGCGAGCCAAGCCCTCGAAGTGGTGATATAGTGGAACCACTTGTAAGCATTTGAGATCTTCTTCTCAGCAATCGTGCGGCTGGCACTGAAAAAATAAGAACAAAATTTTTAATTATAAGAAGTATACATGTGTCAGCGTCTGCGTCTGCGTACTATACTAATTATATAAAATACAAAACTTACCCAAGCTGCAGTGCTCTCCACTCTATCCTCAACGGAGGTAGTACTGAACGATCCTCCTGAAAAAATAAATATTACAAGTGAAACACTTAATTACAAGATCAAAGCGATATTCAACAAATCCTGCACGGTGACATACCCTATCTCGATCCATCCTGGACTCGGGCATCTGATCGTCTTGCGCAGTACGAAGAGGCAATTCGCCAATATAAAACTTACTCTCCTCCTCGATCAATGGTGCCAATTCAGTGAGAATTTCAAGCTGTCATTTTGATATGTCACAGTTAATGACTATGTATTCAGATTGTAAAAGGACGTACAACATAAATAGCAATTGTATAATACGTACCTCAGGATCGTTGAAGAAAGCCGATAACTGTCTGGCAAGCGGCTTGTCTTGTGCTCGCCAGTGATGCATCCGAGGATAGCGTGTCTCTCCTCTCCTCGTATACTGACTGGCCAAGATGGGGACAGTCTCGTACACCCATATCTGAAACAATTACAATTATTATGCATAGAATTCAATAAAAAATGTGTAGGTAATTCATTAACTTAAACATATACCTGCAGCGCCAACGACAGTCCATATGCATCGTACTTGCGCTCGGGCTTATCCCCCTTTGGCATTGAAAACCCCCTCCTAAACACGCGTAATGTATCAAGAAAACATCTCCAACCCCATGGGTAGTTGTTGAAGGCATCAATATCATCAACAACCTCCAAATGGAAAATGTCAATCGATGTCTTCTTGTGATGACACCGGAGTATGCTCTCGATGATAAGCACCAAGCCTAACTTCAGCCTATCAGACATCCGATCACGTCTCCTTAATGCATCTCCTAGTTGCGTTAGAGTAACCGTCGTCTGTCCATGAAAATATTCATTCAACAGCCTCCTGTTCCTCGGAACACAGGCCTTCGCCTCTGCATCGTCCGTACATCGCAGTCCAGTGACGAGGGCAAACTCAAATATGGAGAACGTGGCTACCTTGCCCCCAAGATTAAAATGGAGGGCGTCTCCGTCAACTGGCTTCAACAAGCAACATAACAGGCATCGAGCAGCTGCCCAGACCACTGTACATCACGCAACGAATACAATGGCCATAAGCATGATCGACGTAATATATCTGCGTGATCGTCGTCCAGCAAATCTAATGCCAAAGCGAAGCTGGTAAAGTTACAATTCGACGTAACTTTACCAGGGATTTGTCTGACAGCGTCGTGCAGATGATATTCCATCCTGCAAAATTTCAAATATTAGAACCCTATGCAAATAATGTTCGATAAATAAAAATATTAAAAAAATATACTAACACACTGCTATTAGATGCAATAACCAACCGATAACGGAATAAACAAAATGAACGTAAATTACTATTTTTCATATACTTAATTTGCTAATTTGATCGTTTATTTTAATATTTTAATTACTTATTTTAATTATTTATCTAACACTTAATTTACTTTTTCATTTTTAATTAATGTTTAAACACTTATTTTAATTTTTTAAGCATATCGCTTATTTCATATTCACAAAATTATTTTAATTGCTTCGTAAAAAATTAATTTAATTGACATTTTCATATCCTAATTTAATTGTTTATTTTTATTATTTCACAAATGTTTATATATTTATTTAAATTCTTTATGCATATTACTTATTGAACATGTAATTAAATTTTTTTAATAACACTTCTTTTGATCGTTTATTTTAATATTTTAATTATTTTTCTAACACTTAATTTACTTTTTCATTTTTAATGAATGTTTAAATGCTTATTTTAATTATTTATGCATAATGCTTATTTCATATTTACAAATTTATTTTAATTGCTTTGCAAAAACTTAATTTGATTAATATTTTAATTTTCAAATTTAATTGCGTATTTTTATTGTTTTACAAATGTTTAAATATGTATTTAAATTATATATATATGTTATTTAATATTTAATTATTTCTTTTAATTATTTTACTAACACTTATTTTGATATTTTAATTGCTTATTTTAATTTTTTTTCTAACAGTTAATTTAGTTATTTATTTTTAATGAAATTTTAAAACTTATTTTAATTATTTACAAATGTTTAATTATGTATTTAAATTCTTTATATATATCTTATTTAATATTTCATTTTTTAAAATTAATTTAGTAACACTTATTTTTAAATGCTTATTTTAATATTTTAATTATTTTTCTAACACTTAATTTAGTTTTTTTAATTCTAATGAATGTTTAAATACTAATTTTAATTCTTTACGCATAATACTTATTTCATATTTACAAATTTATTTTAATTGCTTTTAAAAAAATTAATTTTTTTGCTAATTTAATTGCTTATTTTTTTTAGTTTACAAATGTTTAAATATTTATTTAAATTCTTTATATATATTAATTATTTAATATTATATTATTTCTTTTAATTTTTTTACTATTACTTAATATAAAATAATTAATTAATCTAAATTAGCAACTAATAAATATTTCGATAAATAATATAACATTTACACCTTATATTTACTATAAATAATTTTAAATACATAATATACATTCAAATTAAGCAATTCAAATAAACAATTACATATTAGAGAACACAATATAAGCCATTAATAATTATTTAATTAACTTCAATAATTACTGAAAAAAAAGCCCACGGCCCAAAATAACGGCCGACCCAGTCAACTGGGCAAATATTAGAAAACACAATATAAGCCATTAATAATTATTTAATTAACTTCAATAATTACTGAAAAAAAAGCCCACGGCCCAAAATAACGGCCAGCCCAGTCAACTGGGCACCCAGTTGCCCAGTTGACTGGGCCACTGGGCGTTACTGTGCCCAGGTGGCCCAGTCAACTGGGTTGCCCCAGTTGACTGGGTACATTCGCCCAGGCGGCGTGCCCAACGCTAGCCTTCCATTTCCGGCCATGGAAATCGCCGAAAAACTCCATTTTCGACGATCTCTACTCCTTCCCAAACAATAACCCAAATTTCACATTCACACAAGGATTTCTCAACACATATATATAAAATCATACTTTTTTCCAAAAATAAAAATAAAAACATTGTTTTTTTTGGTATAAAAATCTTACATTTTTCAGAGAGAAATGGCCAATTAGGTCTCCTATTTTTCCTTATTTGTCGATAACTGGGTCGACTGTACTACAGTACTTTTCCACTCGCCTTCTGCTTTTTTTCTTGCAAGTCCTGAGGGGTAAAATTAGGTTTCTCTTGATTTTTGTTGATTTTCACTGTTTTAAATAATTTTGCCTTTTTTTTTTTTTTTTTAACTGATCAAAGGCCTCTTTAAAAAACTGATCGGGTCAACCGGCCGTTGGCCACTAATTCCTCCTAAAACCCTTCCCTCCTCTTTTCATTTCCATTTGAATCGAGAAGCCTCGACCTTTTTACACTGCCACAACCAATGTCCGCCGTCTCTCGCCTCCTCCACCGTTCTTTTTCCACCACGGCCCATTCTCCCTCCATCAAGTCCCTCTCTGAGGACCTCTACAAGGAGCGAAACCTGAAGAAACTCGTCGATAAATTCAAGCTCTATTCATCTTCCGACCGTTTCCGCACCAAGAATGGTATTTATGAGTCTACGGTCCGCCGCCTGGCTTCCGCCAAACGCTTCAAATGGATCGAAGAAATTCTCGAACATCAGAAGCAATTCAGACATGATATTTCCAAGGAGAACTTCTCTATCCGGCTTGTCAAATTGTATGGACAATCGGGCATGTTTGAGAATGCGAAAAAAGTGTTCGATGAAATGCCTGAGAGGAATTGTGAAAGGAGTGTGAAGAGTGTGAATGCCCTTTTATCAGCTTGTGTGAATTCGGGGAAACTTGAGGAGATTGAGGGGATTTTTAGGGAAATTGAGATGAAGTGGCAAGTGAGGCCTGATGTCTTTTCATACAATATTGTGATCAAAGGGCTGTGTGAGATGGGGGAGTGGGATAAAGGGTTGGGAGTGGTTGATGAGATGGAAAGAAGTGGGGTGAAGCCCGATTTGGTTACTTTTAATACAGTTCTCGATAAGTTATATTCGAATAAGAGGTATGATGATGGTGAAAAGATGTGGAGACGAATGGTGGACAGTGGATTTTTCCCCAATGTTAGGAGCTATAATGCGAGGCTTGTGGGATTGGTTAATGAGAAGAAGTTTAATGAAGCTATTAAGTTGATTAGTGAAATGGGGAAAAGTGGGATACAGCCTGATTTTTTTAGCTACGCAATTCTCATTAGAGGGTATTGCGATGAGGGAGATTTGAAGGGGGTGAAGAAATGGTATGGCGACTTGGTCAGAAGCGATCATGTCCCAGATAGGGCATTGTTCAGGGTGGTTCTTTCTTCTGCATTAGATAAGGGTGATTATGATTGGGTTTTTGAGCTTTGCAAAGAGGTTTTCGAGAGGAAGCGTCTGGTTGATGCAAGATTGTTGCAGAATGTGGTGGATGGGTTGATGAAGGATTCAAGGATTGAAGAGGCTAAGACGGTTGTTCAGATGGGGAGGTCAAATGATTACTGCCATTATAAGCTTGAGCTGCCATCACAAGTAGTTTAATTATCCTGACTACATTTTTTTATCCTTGTACTTAATCTTTGGCTTGACTGAATATTGAGTTGAGATAGCTGAATGAATTTGAGCTACTGACTTGAGAATTGCTCTAAAGTTGAAAGATTTGTTTATTTTGGCCTCGTTTAGAGACAGACTTTTAGACAGAATGTTTTGCAGTCCTTCCGCTTATGTTGGAATACAATTGAAATGCATGCATGCTACGTCTTTCCCTTAATACCTACTATTGCTTTGGAACCATTGCTATGTTTGGTGAAACTTTATGCTCTTTTGTTAGGTTTGCCAGTGAACCATTTTTGAGCATGTAATGGCAAGAAGATAGGCGTCAGTTTGATCTAGTAGCGTGCTTTGCTAGAAATCCAGTTACAGTTCAAACTGCCACTCAAGAATAATTCCATCATATAAGAAGGGTTGCTTTTTCTATGCATCATCAAACACAATAGATTTCGTATACTCCACAAGAAGTGGGAGCCGTTGATTCTCATCATAACTGTACATAGGAGGAACCATTCTTGCAAGATTAAGAGAAGCCCTGGGCGAAAGATGGTGCCGAAAGTTTTAGATTGAAATACTCATTATTAAGACAGTTTCATTCACTTGATATCAAATCAAGAACATGATTTTGTGCAATATCGACAGATATGCCTCTGTGCTGTTTCATGTAGCATTCTCTTTATGATCAATCATTGCCATATTGATGCTCATCCTGCCAAATGATCCTAAATTATGATCACGTTGACATATATATTCATCATAAGTTGTGAAATCATTACCTTTTGGCACTTCCTAAGTCGTCCCATAAGCAAAGAATTGTCCCCACTGAGGATATGAGTCTGGATGTATCATTCAAATGGATGGCATTTTGTGTTGTTTGGCCAATACCCAAGAGAGAGGAGTGAACTAGCGCTAGACGTACTCTGGAACTTAACTTCCCATTTTCCAGGTACTTGTCCGCTGTTGGCAAGTCACCAGATGCAAACCATTCTGCTTCTACCAGGAACGCGTTGCACAAAGTCGCCCACTGAAACTTAAAAGAATCCTATTAAATTGTCGTGTTCGTACGGTTAAGAAAATATACATTTTGCATGTTTCGTTAAAAGTACTCGACATTACAATAAACATTATTCATCTTTGTTTTGTTCTTTAATATTGTCAAGACCGCCTTACAAAACAAGCTTCCATAGAGAATTGCTGATTTACCAATGTTCTTAGGGTTTTAGTCGGGTTATGTCCATGCTTCTTTTCGATCCAGTAGCCCATCTCATTCATCGTGTCAGGAAGTGCCTCGTAACAAATTTTCATGAAGTCTGGTAACATATCCATGGCAGCATATTCCCATCTATATATAATCAAATTTTGGTCATTATATTGTAGCTAAAATTTGCTTCTGAGAAATCAAATAACTGAAAAATACCTGTTTATGGCTTCTGTAAACAGTGCCAGTTTTTGGGGTGTCCCATAAAATAAAAAATGTCATCTATTATGTAGATAAAAGCAATGCATTTTGTCAGCTGAATTCCTTGCTCTTCATAGGAGGGATCTTTTAGGCGGGCCATGGACCATCTGTACCATTTCACTGGTTGGTTCCTAGCGAGCTTCAATTCCTCTGCCAAGCCAAGTTCTTTCCACCACCTAAAATATCAAGGATTAAAACCCGACCTTATTTTAGGGATGAAGTCCTAACCAAATATCTGAGAGCAAATAATGAACGACGCAACAAACAGAAAAACATACACAAGAACATATAGATTTATGTTGGCTCACCCTCAACGTAAGAGCCATGTCTACTGGTTGCAGTTTTTCACTATGATAAAGAAGAAGTTTTACGATATAGATCTCGCACCACACAAAAAACTGCCTTTCATACTCCTTTATATAGGTAGGAAGTTAGAGCGATCTAATACAAGGATATGAGTGCCCAAAATGGTACGTGTACCTGAAGATCGATTCATGATCGAGAGTATGAATGAACAGTGGAGCACATATTAAATGAAAGGGTACGGGGTACTTATATTTGAAAATGATATTAGTGGATAGGTAGAGATTACTGAGGGGCTTTTTCATCAAGAGATTAAACTGTATATTGTGTATAACCTTTTTCTTACTCGAAAACTTGATGCAATTCATGTCTGTGAACGGATTTTTGCATCCGAAAATCCATATTTGCCAGCTCTTTCAATGTTTTTTCCCGTCTGTTTTTGCCTTTAAAATAAAAGACAGAGTCGTTCGAATTCAATCTTGCCATGCTTTTGTGATAAGGATGTCTCAATTTGTGATTAACAAATTTGGATAAATTTTGATCCATATTTGTCATGCATTCTTGAAGAATCTGGCTACTGTAATATACAGCCTCATCAATAATGTCTTCTCCTTTAAACAAAGCTGTACTGCTTCATACAATTCCATCAATCTTATGATGTCTTGTCTTAGGTTTTGTCTGAATCTCCCATCCTTGCCCTTGAAGTTGGTGAATACATATGCATTATGGATCTCTATTATTACTTGGTTAATGATACTATATATATACATTATATATATATATATATATATACGGAAATGATCTCCTAAGTACCAGTATTTAAAAGATTATATATATATTTATATGCGATTTGACATTATTTAAGAGTATTATGTAAGAAAAATAAGTAAAAAATCTTGTTTGTTATTGTAAATAGTACCGGAATAAGCTTGATACATACAAGATTATAGAAGCAGCTTAAAGTCTTTCTTTCTTTTTTTATTTTTTTATTTTCATCTTGTGCAAATACTAGACAGGAATGAGGAATAAAAACAAGTCAAAATCTTGATTGTTCCTGTACGAGACTGTCTAGTACTGCGTACCAAAGATGCCCCTCGAGTTACAGCATACGAGTTTCATAACTTAAAAAATGAATGAAGTTCATGGGAAATAAAAGAAGAATTAACATGCTTGTACATGGTATCCTTGTTGTCTCAAGAGTCCGAAAGAAAGTAAAACATGATGAAGAGTGTAGTATTTATAATCACAAGTGCTTGTTGCCACGTAGTGTTGCTTCAGAATTGCTTTGATTTACTCCTGAAGATGATGATACCAAAAAGTGCCTAAGATTCTCCACTTTTTGAACATAAAATTCATCCTGGACCTGCAAGTTAGAGCACATATATTCTTTACATATATATAGATCAAATAGATTTACACGTAGTGAATACAAAATATCTGATAAATTGGAGCCGTGTTCATTTATATCAGAAGTTACTAGAATTCTCCATTTCCGAGTAGTAGAAGCTCTACATGCAACACGAAAGGGATTTCCCTTTCCTATTTTCCGAGTAACGGTCGAGAGAATAGAACAGCCGCAGCCAGGAAGAGGCGACAGGCCGCTGCAGGCTGTCATGGTTGCCATCGCAGTCAGAGCAGTTTTTTTAGAGTATTCGACTATTTCTTATACGAAAGCCTTAACCATTACTTATAAGGAAGCCTTTTGGGAAAGTCATATTGCTTGCAGGCAATGTCCTGCAATATTAACAAAAATTGTGATAATATCAAATGTTTATATATAAACCAGAAAAATATCATGGAACCGTATTAGTTGGAGAAAATTGAATGTTGGTACCCAATTTAGGATTTGGTTTCCAACCCTTAATTAAAATATTATCTTCTTTATATTTAAATAATTTGTGAAATTGCAATATTGTCAGTTAACTAGATTGGGCGAGCAAATAAATGATAAAATCTTCCACTAAAAAATAAAAATAAATTAAAACTTGCATTAGGACCCACATCCTGAATTTATCAACTACCCTACTGTACTAAATTTATTACTTAAGGGCGGGCAGAAGCCAGTCAGAGACAGGACATGATCAACAATCTGTATCATGTTATTGGAACAAAATGTGTTTATAAATTTGGTTGACAAAATTCAGACCATTGATTTTCAATGCACAATGTCTCAAAGTTCACTGTCTTCTATCTGTATTTGGTGATAATTGAAGACAACGGATGGAAGTGTTGGGAGTAGAATTAATTGGGGAGAGGGCGGCTGTCCGGAGGTCAGGGCAAGTTGGTTTTGGAATAACAGCAACTGGATGAAAGAGCATCAATTGAAGCTACAAGCACAATGGCATAAAAGGAAAATAAAAAATTCACAAACTCATAAATCCCAAATTATGCTTGATGAACTCCAATAGTAAATACATGTATGTGATTATTGTCAACATGAAGAATCATTGTGTTATTTTCTTCTGTTATTGCCTATTGCAGTTTGCCGGTAGCTAGTAACAATGGCATCCATTATCGATTATAATTGAATGAGAGAAAATTACCCACAGTCCGGGATTTGGGTACAAATGCAACATCTTTCGTGCATATTGCACTTCCAGGCATTTGCGAGGGGAGAAAGTTTCTCTCGTCTCAAATATAGGTTATCTTAATAATTCAGTAACCATTTATCTGAGGCCTGGGGCCTCGACCTGTTGTTAACCGAGAAAAAGGTATCTGACTCCTGCTGGAAATGCCTTTTGAACCAGAAAGACGATCAGCAACTGTCGGATCAGAAACTGGTCTGGAGAAGGCCTGTGCAAGCTCAAGAGCAGAAGCCACTTTCCCATAACGCTGCCCCAGGGCAGGCGCAGAGTCCGGTTTTGGATTTTCGACAGGCTTGCGCCAGGTGTCAGGTGACAGTGGCCTCTCCCGTTGCTGAGGCCGCAGGTCATTGTGTTTCTCAACCTCTCTGTAATTCCTCCAATTTTCATTCCCTTTGTTCCTTCTCTGTTCATCTGTTCTTTCAATGTCCGTCCTTTGATCTCGCCTATCAGTACTCTTTGCTACTCCGAGATCACCCAGAACATTTTTAGCTTTTTCACCGTAACCAGCAGCAGTAACTTGCACGGATACTTGATCAATCTTGAGAGCGTCTTGCTTGATCCTTCATGCATTAAAGGTTGCAAATAAAGAAAAGAAAAAGAGTTACTCGTGTGAACATGTACATAAAAACTCTGATTAAAAGAGTTACTTGTGTGAACATGTACATACCCCCGTTAGTTTCTCATTATTTACCCATTAAAATGAAAAATATGACTGTTATCCATCATATCAAGCCACCATATTTTACTTTCTATTTTTTGTGTGGGGCCCGTAACGATTATATTTTTCATTCTCATTTTTATATTAATGTGTACCAAACGGGGCCTAAAAGAGTTACTTGTGTGAACATGTACATCCTAACTCTGAACTGAAATTGAATAGATACCTAGGAGGTGGTTGGCTGTCATAATGGGTAACAGCATCAAGTCCCCTATCCTTCAGAACCTGGGAGAAGAATTGACGATCATGCTAATAAAGCTAACCAAAGCACAATCATGCTAATAAAGCTAACCACAGCACAATCATCATACATAAAAGATGCAGAAAAGACCCACACCAATCAATTAATAAGATATAGATACAGCAGGAGTAGCAGAGAGACACGAGTTAAAAAGATGAATAACCAAAAACCTAAGAGGTTTAGAACTAAACTGCCAAACCAAAAGGAGATTGAAATAATTTGAAATTTCCAAATTAATTGTTCCAACGCATGTGCCATCCATGTTTTTCACACAATTTGACAGTGATAGGAAAATGAACTTACCAATTCTCGTGGACGAGCCCCTGCGAACAGAGTGTTTCTGCGACGTTGACAAAGACCAAAACCGAAAGGATCAACAAGAGAGTTCTAACAGGCAAAAACTAAAATTTCAAGAGAAACCAGCATAAGAATGGTAAATTGTGATAGTAAAAAATGGTACTATCTTTTGGACTGTTTTGTCGGTATTTCGACCTTGCAGCTCCATTACTACTATAACTTATTGCCAGTCCCTTTACTGTTACAACCTGTCAACGTAGTCACTGCTGCTCCAGTCCTGAACCTACAGATACTACTTCTATACCAACAACTCTGGTGACTACTAAGGCTCCTACTAGGAGTTATTATCCTCATTTGCAGCAAAAACCTCAAGAAAAGGGCACCTGAAGTGAGTGTTCTTGAGTGTTACTTATGGTATGAGTTGGCTAAACAAGTTCCAAGTTGTCACTCCTCTGCCATTCTAACATGGACAATACGTGGACTTAACAAGACGACGATACAAATGCCTTTTCATAAAATGCACTCATTGTCAACGGTAAAGGTACCCAGTTGAATTCATGATTATGTTACAACAGTTTGATGAGGCTGCGCACAATGACCAAGTTTGAGCTGAGCATAATACCTTTAGCATATCCTTGGCAAAGAAAATTAAATAAAAGTTTCATCTATTGCTATTTTGAAATAGTTATAGTTCACTTCAGATTATCATCTGACAATCACTTAAAAGTTTCATCAATAGCAAATGTAATCCAGTAATCCTTTTCATGAATTAAATAGAAAAATCAAATAGACTAGGAACGAACAGAGGACCCGAAGAAATAAACAACACATGATTCAGTGAGCTAGTTAGTAAAAGTTAATGGACCTTTTGATTTCAGTGTTTCCCTCCATTTGTTCAACAGGTCGTGAGCGTGGCTTCAAATTCAACTTTGGGCGCTCTACCGCTTGATTAACAACCATCGATCTAGCAAACTCGGGTTCTACGGGATTTACAGTTCTGTGTAATTCATTCTCGTCCATCACATGAACCGGATCAATCGGCTGCTGGTGCCCCTGCACTCAAAATGATGAATTGCAAAGATACGTAACATTGTACTTGATATCTAGTTCAAAAGGAAAACCCGAATGTAAAAAACCAACATTAACCTGCTTATAATCGAATGCAAGCTCTAAATTCTCTATCGGTTCGGATCTTGGAAGTAATTTCAATTTGGGTCGCTCCGATGTTTCTAAAGTCCCTGGAGACTGTAAATCAGTCTCACCAGATACTCCAGAAATGCTATGTGGCAGAAATTCCCTGTGATCAATGGAGGGTTTCCAATCATGTGTCTCCATGTACATGGTAGACCTGACTCTATCATGAGACACAGTCTCCTTTCCACCATTGCAAATCCCATCATCAGCAATCAGACTCCTTTCCATATGCATCGCCAGTGCAACATCATGATAGTCAGTTCGACCTAAAACATCTATCCCATTGTTAATATTCCTGTTGTACATGTCTTTGCCCCGATGATGAAATTCTCTCTCAGGTTCTGAGTGTCCAATGGCCTCAATATCTTTTTGAGGATGAACATGTTGCGAGTGCCACCGACCAGATGAGACTTTCTCAATGGCACTCGCATGGGCCAGCTTTACTGCAGCATCTGGAGCTGACCATGTAGCAGAAACAGGCTCCCTTTCACATGCCACTTCCTTCTTAACACCCCATGGATTCAAATTGGACCCAGCAACCCCTGACCTGGAGTTGACACCCACATTCTGATAATTCACCCCAGCACTGCCACTCAAATTTTGGTTATTCAACCCCACCTTATGGACTTCACTAACCCTTCCAGCATATGAACTACCCACTGGACCACTAGAATGAGACGGAGGAGTTGAAGATAGCTGACTACCAACTCTAGCACCCGCCAAATTACCCGTCTTAGTTTCTACCACGCGACTTGGCAGAGCATGAACGCTCTCATCACTGACAGTTCGACGAGGACCTGATATCCCATCCAAAGGCTTGCGCTCATCCTCGTCGAAATTGCGGCCAATGCGAGCGCTATGACTTAAAAATGGGGTATTTTCATCGAAGTTCCGAGCTGACCCAGCAGATGCCGGCCGCAAGCGTTGATTGGACCTTCCCATTGAATTTCCCCATGGCGACTGCTGATCAAAACTACCACGATCTGCAGGTCTTGCCATTCTGTCCAAAAATATGAACAGTGTACAAAATTTCAGATCAGAAATTCACTTCATAGTATCCACTTCATATATTTTACTGTTCTGAATTAAAAAATAAATTACACGCCCACCACATACTTCACACAAATAAATCGACTTAAAACTCATATGGGTTTTAAATTACAAGGATCAAGTGGTTAGATCTAGACTATTTATGTATAATATCAATTAAAGAAGCACTGAGCTTCAATAAACAACCCCCCAAATAAATAAATAAATAAATAAACCTGTATTAAGGAAATTAATGGGAAATAACACTAAAATTTATTGGGTATAATTTTTAAACTCAAAAAATTTGATCTTGAATTGAAATCAAATTGACAATTAATGAATCGAACTCAAACCCAATGAAAAAAATAGATATTTTTCCCAAAATAAAAATACAAAAACGGACCAGACGCTTATACTTATTCCGGTATAATCAATAATGAAAGGGGAAAAAAACTCACACGCCAGGTGCAGAGGGGAGACGAAGATCCGAAGGAATTGAACCACCATGGAAGTCTTTGAGAGTCATCGTTGCTTTCTTCTTCGACATCTTCTCTCCCCTTTCTTCTTGCAATCTCTTGCTAAAAAGATTCAGTATATATGAATCTAGATGTGTATATATAAGTTAATAAACCCTTCTCCCCAGTTGGATGATTTACTGAATAAATCTGTATAAATATAAAAGAAAAGAATTATTGTTTTCGTCGTTTTTTCCTATCTGAAAATCTATCTAATAGTTGCAATTGCAGTCTACAGAAACTTAAACAGAGAAAAGGGTACTGGATTTGGGAGAGAAGGGTTTGGAACCTTTGATTAGGAGACGCAGATCTATCAAACTCTTCTGTCCTAACTGGACTTTAGGTGATTATTTATATAATATAAAAAAAAAAAAAAAAAGTTGAATCCCAATCTTGAGGGCCCTATCGTCCCGACCTTAGAGTTTTGTGAGGGAGGTAAATCGCGGAATGTGTCTCAACAGGCCAGGGAACAAGAGCTGTCTATACACTGCCCCTACAAGGAATCCAATTCCATATTTCAAAAATCGAACCCTCCATACTGTGCCTACAAGAAGTCCAATAAATTTTGCATCTTTCAATTTTTTTAAGTATTTTTACCTTCAATTTTATATTTGATTGTAAAACGTCATTTTTATCCATTTTTCAATAGAAAATTGTGAAATAACAAATATAACCTCCTATTTGAATAACAAAATCTTTTGCAAAATTCGAACTACGTTGCAACCAGTTTTTTATTTTTTTATTTTTGTTTTATTTAAATAAGAAAGTATATTCGTCATCTCACATCTTTTTATTAATAATAAATTAGTGGTTGAGGACAACACAACTTTCCTGCTAGATGACGTGAATTTCTAATTAAAATTGAAAAATACATAATGTAATCAACATATTGCAAGACCAACCAGTTAAAATTGTGCTTTGAATCTGATGCTACCAAAAATTGTACCTGATAAATCTCTCCAACTTGAGAACTGAGAAAGAGCACAAACAGAGCCTTCCGGTACTTGAAACAAAGACAACGAAATGTATTCTCGTCGCCCCTCTAATGCTTAAGTCTGGAAGGGAATTTATATGAGAGAATGTATAATGAAATTGTTTGTAAACACCCTCCTTAGCAATGTTCGAGCTATATAGTTCGAGATAGGAGTTTCAAATCCAAGCTCGAGCTTGCTTGTGCCTAGGGGAGAGAGTGACGAGCCCGACCATATAAACTCGAGGATGTTCAAGCCACAGGAGAGTGCTCAAGGTTACCATAATCTCGAGCATGAGGTCGTGGATGGTCGGGTCACAGAGATAATTGTATACATCAGAATCAATCAATTGTGTTCTTATCCACTTGATCAATTGCCTTGGCAAAAACATCATTATTGGTACTTGGTACTAAAATGAAAACGGAACTTGCTACAATGATGATTTCGAGGTCTTGGCAATTGACAGCAGAGATGGTAACAGCATTTCCATATCCCACATTTTTGCTAATAGTGAACGAGTCCTACTGGGAAGACGAAAACATCACCATTTTGTAGGAATTTGATAATCAACTTGTTGTCTAGGTTGGAGGTCACAAAGCCGACCTGACTACTACCTTCTAAAACAGTAATTATCTCTGTGCCTTGAGGATGGAGATGGATAGGAGTAATGTCCCATGAAGCATAGTCAAAACATACCAATGCAATTCCAAGTGTGTTCAATCCAGGTAGTTGAGCCACTGTCACGAGCGTGAAGATGAATCCTAGAGGGTTGGATGTGTTGCTTGCTAAATGAAGCCCATTGAAGGTCAAGTGTTCAGCTTGTACTAGTTTCGAGTCCATGCATGAGAGGCCATCTCGTGCTGCAAGATTGTGAATAAAAAAAATTAATAAAAACCAATAATTAAATTCACAGATGGTAGAATTCCTCGTTGCTTGTGTTATATTGTTGTTCAAAATTCAATTAAGGAATTAAAATGGAATGAAACAATATGTAGGAAGCCAAAGAAAAACCGGCGTGGTAACCAAACGATGGAAATATAAAGAAAAAATGGAGGCCCAAACTCTGTGCCATGTGGCCATGCGACCGCATGGCCATCTACCGAAATTTAAAGGGGCCCTTCAATTACTCCATGCGGCAGCATGGATTAATACCATACGGCTGCATGGTGATTTCCTGTGACCGTTGGAAGCCATTTTTCTATCGTTATTAACTTCAAAATTGGTGGCTTTTGAACCTATTTTGGCACCATTTCGTGCACACTTGGTGATGGCCTATAAATAGGTGATAAATCTAAAGCCAAAAAAAGTGAATAACATTTTTTGTGATCCATACTCATTCCAAAATCAAAGATCAAACAATTGATTGATATTCATACTCAATTTCTTCTTTATATTCTTAAAGTTTTGGAGGATTGCACTTATACTTTGGTGCTAGATCCTTTACAAGGCTTGTTATAATCCTACAAACCATTTGCCAAAGATCCTTAAGTATCTCATTCAATCCCGAGAGGAGGCAAATATAGTTTGAGAACAGTGATTACGTGTTCGAGCCTTCCATTTTATTTTCCTCAAATTTTTGGATATTAATTTAACTTGTGATTACATTTTCATTTTTTTTTGTCACTTCTTCATTCCTATATATATTTCCAACAATCTCAAAATATACTATCCTGCGATGGAGAACGAGACAACCATGGCAACCATTAAACTTATGAATCAAGATCTGGTTCGATTGGATCGTTTTGCAGGGACGAATTTCATGCGGTGGCAAGACAAGTTGAAATTCCTATTAACGATGTTGAAGATTTTTTATATCCTTGATCCAGAATTGGCACCTTTGCCAGAACCCACAAATGAAGAGACCGAAGTAATCAAGGCTAAGAGACAAAAACGCCAAGAAGATGCATTGATTTGCTACGGTCATATCTTGAATGCGCTGTCGGATCACTTATATGATTTGTATACAAATACAACTTCAACGAAGGAAATCTAGAATGCTTTGGAAAGTAAGTATAAGGCGGAAGAGAAAGGTACAAAGAAGTTTTTAATTTCTAAGTATTTTGATTTTAAATTCTTAGAAAATATCCCCCTACTTTCCCAAGTGCATGAGTTGCAAGTGATTGTCAATAAATTGAAAGCGGTGAAGATTGAAATCCCGGAGACCTTTCAAGTAGGGACTGTAATTGCTAAACTCCCGAGGACTTGGAAAGGATACTGGAAGAAAATTATGCATAGTTCCGAAAATTATTCTTTGGAACAATTGCAAAAAACATCGTTGGATTGAGGAAGAATCCCGATTGCGTGACAAGAGTGAAAACTCTTTGGAGGGAACTTCCAAGGCTAATGCTGTTGAGAAATCTGACCCGCCTGCAAAATCCAATAAGAAGAAGCCTTCAAAGAACTTTAACAAGTCCAAGAAGAAGACCAAATGAGGATGTTATGTTTGTGAAAAATCTGGACACTACGCAAAAGATTGTATACACCGGAAACACAACACCTCTGAAGGTAAAGTGAACTCCATCCAAGAAGAAAAGATTGTGGCTACCATAAGCGAGATAAATGCTATTAAGGGAAAGGTTTCCAGCTGGTGGTATGATACTTGTGCCACGGTACATGTATCATATCACAAATCTTTATTCAAAACATATAATGAAGTGGTTGGAGACCAAGGGATCCAAATGGGTAACGAGGTGAGATCTAAAGTGATTGGAAAATGAAGTATAGACATTATCTTCACTTCCGAGAAAAACGTTACTCTCACAAATGTGCTACATGTTCCAGATATGAATAGGAACCTAGTGAGTAGAAATCTCTTGGAAAAATCGGGTATTAAAAGTGTCTTTGAGTCCAGTAAACTTGTTTTATCCCTCAAAGGGAAATTTGTTGGAAAGGGCTATTCTTGTGAAGGAATGGTCAACTTATGTACTATTAACAATGAATAAATAAAACTGATTTCGCTTATGTTGTGGATTTATTTTCATTATGGCATGCTAAATTAGGTCATGTTGGAATAAGTGCCATGAAACACATGAAAAATTGTGAATTGATCTCATATGATGGAAATAATGAAAATAAATGCAAGATTTGTGTTGGAACTAAAATGATCAAAAAGCCTTACCAAAGTGTAAAAAGGACTTCTAACATTTTAGAACATATTCACACCAATATATGTGAAATGAATGACATGTTAACTAGAGGTGGAAAGAGGTACTTTATTACCTTCATTGATGACTTTTCTAGATATACGTATGTTTACTTGATAAAATATAAAAGTGAAGCTTTTGATATATTTAAAGTATACAAAAACGAGGTTGAAAATTATCTAGGAAATAAAATTAAAATCTTGAGAAGTGATAGAGGTGGTGAATATTTCTCCAATGAATTTAATTTGTTTTGTGAACAACATGAAATTATTCATCAATGTTCTGCACCTACGACACCCGAACAAAATGGCTTGGTTGAAAGAAAAAATAGAACATTTGTAGAAATAATAAATGCTATGCTTATTCATGCTAAGTTGCCATTTAATTTGTGGGGTGAAACTTTATTGAGTTCATGTAGAATACATAATAGAATTCCTTCGAAATATACTAAGGTTTCTCCTTATGAATTATGGAAAGGAAGAAAACCAAACATTGGATACTTCAAAGTGTGGGGGTGTCTTGCTTATAGCAAGAACACAAATCCTAACAGGACCAAACTGGGTCCAAAAGGCATTAAGTGTGCCTTTGTGGGATATGTAAATAATAGCAAATCTTATAGATTGTTAAATTTGGAGTCCAATGTGATTATCGAATCCAATGATGTGGAGTTCTTTGAGGATTCATTGTCTTCGGATAATGAATTAAAGGAAAATTTTGAAAATATCCCTAGCGCAAGTGGAACACGTTATGAAACGTCTTCAAAAGACGTTGATGAATCTAGTGAACCACGAAGAAGTAAGAGAACTACGGTTGAGAAGTCTTTGAGACCGGATGAAATTGATTCTCAACTTATCTTCTTCTACTTGGTAGAGGGAAATGAGTTGAATGTTGTAAGGACAATTCCTTTTGTTCTACAAGTAGAATCTGACCCTAAGAGTTATAAAGAATCTATGGCTTCGCGTAATAGCATCTTTTGGAAGGATGCAATTAAGGATGAAATGGATTCGATAATGCCCAATAACACTTGGGAGCTTGTCGATCTACCACCGGGATCCAAACCCATAGAATGTAAATGGGTATTCAGAAGAAAATATAATGTTGATGGATCTTTAAATACCTTCAAGGCTAGATTAGTAGCCAAAGAATATCGACAAAAGGAAGGAATTGACTATTTTGATACCTATGCACCGGTTGCTAGAATAACATCGATCAGGATATTATTTGCTTTAGCTTCAATATATGACTTGCATGTTCATCAAATGGATGTCAAGACGACATTCCTAATGGAGATCTCGATGAGGAGGTCTACATGAAACAATTTGAAGGGTTTGTCCTACCCAGAAATAAACATAAGGTATGCAAATTGGTGAAATCCTTGTACGGATTGAAGCAAGCACCTAAGAAATGGCATGAGAAATTTGACTTAGCAATTATATCATTCGGGTTTAAGCATAATATTGTAGATAAATGTTTATATTTCAAAGTTTGTGAAAATTATGTGACATTTATATGCTTATATGTTGATAACATGTTGATTATGAGTAATCACATGGACGACATAGAAGAAACGAAGAGATTTCTATCTTCCACATTCAAAATGAAAGATCTTGGACATGTGGATACCATTTTGGGTATCAAAGTCACAAAAACTAGTGGGGGTTACTATTTGAGTCAATCACATTATATTGAGAATGTGATAAATAAGTTCAAACACTTAAACTTAAAGGAATATAGTACCCCAATCGATCCAAATTTGACTCTTGTAAAGAATAGTGAAATGACGATTGCTCAATTGGAGTATGCAAGTGCTATAGGGAATCTTATGTATGTAGTTCAAAGCACAAGACCGGACATAGCCTATGCAATAAGTAAACTCAGCAGGTTTACTAGTAATCTGAGCAATAATCATTGGAAGGCCATTGGGAGAGTTCTTGGATATTTAAAGAAAACCAAGAGCTTGGGCTTACAATATAATAAATTCCCGGTGGTATTGGAAGGATTTACCGATGCTAGTTGGATATCTAGCACGGGTGAAAGTAAATCCACCTCGTGTTGGGTGTTTACTCTTAGAGGAGGTAATGTTTCTTAGAAATCAAAGAAATAAACATGCATAACACACTCGACTATGGAATTTGAATTTGTTGCACTATCGGATACCAAGAAAGAGGTTGAGTGGTTTAAGGATCTCTTTTATGAGATACCTTTGGGATCGAAAAGTATGTCTTCAATACCTATCATGTGTGATAGTCAAACCACGTTAGCGAAAGCATACAATAAGGTATACAATGAAAAGTCTAGACATATGAGTCTAAGACATGACTACATAAGGAAATTAATCAAAGATGGAATAATTTCTCTAAATTATGTAAAGTTAATTGAGAATTTAGCGGATCCTTTAACTAAACCACTAAATAGAGATTTAGTGGCATCTACTTTGAGTAGGATGGGGTTGAAACTCTTTTCAAATAAATGTCCACCAATGGCGGCAACCCTACCTATCATTACTCAAAAGGTAATTCACGGGTTCAAAGGGTAAAAACAAGTCATTCGATATGTGGAATTGTCACAGCATTATTAAAATCCGTAATGACCCTATTCTAAATAAAATAATGCTGGTTGTTACTGAAATGAGAGTTGAACATTAAAGCTCTTAATGAAGTTTAGTGCTAAAACACAAGTACTTCTAAAAGTAATAAAGGTAATGGAAGAACTTTACCTAAACAAACTTCGAGGTGGTGCCGCCTCAAGTGAGAGTTGGAGTTTCTCCCTTAAAAGTGTGTGGAATAGGATGAGTGCAAGGCCATAACAGCGCTAAGCGAGATATGAGGAATTTGAGAACACGTAGTACTCGTGTGTGTGTTCGGACCGGTATTATCATATGGAATAAGTGGTTCAAAATTACGGCTACCTTTGATTTTGACTTTACTTTGTTTGGATTGCACTATGGTTAGATTCAAATCGAAAGATATCTAGTCCTTATGCATGAGTATCGTATGATTAGAGTATGAGATTCCTTTATTGAAATTTTTGAACAAGTGGGGGATTGTTATATTGTTGTTCAAAATTCAATTAAGGAATAAAAATGGAATGAAACAACATGAAGGAAGCCAAAGAAAAATCGGTGTGGAAACCAAACGGTGGAAATATAAAGAAAAAACGGAGGCCCAAACTTTGTGCCATGCGGTCCGCATGGCCATCTACCAAGATTTAAAGGGGCCCTTCAATTACTCCATGTGGTCGCATGGTGATTTTCTGTGATTGTTGGGAGCAGTTTTTCTACCATTATAACTTTAAAGTGGTGGCTTTTCAACCTATTTTGGCACCATTTCGTGCACACTTGGTGATGGCCTATAAATAGGTGATAAATCTAATGCCAAAAAAAGTGAATAACATTTTTTCTGATCAATACTCATTCCAAAATCAAAGATTAAACAATTGATTGATATTCATACTCAATTTCTTCTTTGTGTTTTTAAAGTTTTGGAGGATCGCACTTATGCTTTGGTGCTAGATCCTTTACAAGGCTTGTTATAATCCTACAAATCGTTTGCCAAAGATCCTTAAACATCTCATTCAATCCCGAGAGAAGGCAAATATAGTTTGAGGACAGTGATTACGCGTTCGAGCCTTCCATTTTATTTTCCTCAAATTTCTGGATATTAATTCAACTTGTGATTACATTTTCATTTTTGTTGCCACTTCTTCATTCCTCTATATATTTCCAACAGCTTGGATAAGGAGAGATTGTGGACCACATATGTAAAAGTTGTACATACTATTGTTGAGGCTTTATCATGTGGAAGTGAAATAGCGGTTGAATTGTCAGCAGAAGCTCAAAATATTGGATAGGTTTGACTCGCCATGACTTAATAGTATAAAAGCTCAATAATCTAGCCCGAAGTGTGCGAGCTAGAATGTTTGTTCCCCCCACATCGTGTGTGGAAGGAAAGGTGGTTTGCGCAGACTACTATTAAGGCATTCTTCATAGGCACATAGGCGGTGAATCAGGTTGAAAGAGAAAGATGCCAAAAACTGGCGGAATGCTCCCGAAACCAATTCATTTGAATAAGATATAGGAGAGTGAAATTTCGTGTATATTGAGAAATAAGATAGAGATGATGTTTTGCGTGATTAAAGGTATAATTAAGGGTAAGAATACTAAAAAAGGAAGGTAGGAACGTTTTCTATGATAATCGTGAAAAGTAGAAATGTTATGTGCTAATTATCATTTTTTTATTCCCATCTTTCAACTTTTATTTTTTCACTTCTGCACGTGTTTGGACATGCTTTTAAATATTATGACCAACTATTTTTTGTAGTTCTAAATAGTAAATACATAAAGAAATTGTGGGTCTCCAACAAAAATTTTAGCTCGTATTTCTACCGACTTCTTAATCAAACAACTTTTAAGCATGATCAAAACAATCATTCATTTCTCCATTATTTAAGTTATTGGTAGAATAGATTAAGTCCCTATTTGGGTTTTGTTTTATCCTAATGCATTTGCATCCCTCATCTTTTTAATCATACATTCGACAATAAAATAATAATACATGTAAATTCATATTTTTTTTAACTACACATTCTTCAAAAAATCACCATTTCATTCTCCAAAAACATATTTTAATAGAGTCCAAACAAAAACTACAAGTATCTCCAAGAAACTTTCTATTTTTAAAGAGCATATTCTATTATTTGAGGAGCATCTATAGATTTAAAAAGTTAAAATTTTGAAATATTTCAACAAGTTTGTTATATTTAACATTTAATTTTACTACTACAAAAAACATTTATTAATTTTATTTATTTTTTAGATTATTTTATCATTTTCCTACATTGAAAATCAAAACATTTGGAATGTATTAAATTAGATGGCCAATTCTATACTTTTAATAGTCACTACAACGCAGCAAAATAAGGACTTTCACTATTGTGCTTTTCAAGGATCTCTACATTGCAGTAACATCTTATTTGATCATATTAGGACGAGAGTAAGTCGAGATCTCATAAATTGTATAAATCAAAATTTATAATTTTAGCTTATAAGTCCAATAAGCAAACAATTCTCAACTTATCTCACTTCTGAGCTGTAACATCTTATTTGATCATATTAGGAGCATGTTTAATAAGAAGAGTAAGTCGAGATCTCATAAATTGTATAAATCAAAATTTATAATTTCAGAATATAAGTCAAATAAGCTGAGAATTCTCAACTCATCTCATTTCCGAGCTGTCCACAATTTGCTGGTTCCCAATTTATAAGAAAATAAATTGTTTGTCAAACATGCTCTAGTTCGACCATCTAACACAACATAGCGATTAATTTAGAAATAAAATCTAACTTTTGTAATAGATATAAAAATACATTAAACTTCAATGACCAACTTAAATTTCGTTGTAATGTGTGCTTTACCTTTTTGTTTATCTAAAAAATATGGAAAAAAAAAAAAGTAAGGATAAGTGAAAATCATTTGATTTCTCATTTTACATATAATTTATTTAAGATCAACTATACCCGTTAATTATTCATAGATACACACTATTCATAGTCTTGTTTGAGCCAAATTTTATGGGAAAAATAGAGTTTGAAATCGTGATTTTTTTATTTTATTTTATTTATTTTAGAATGTGTGATTTAAAATTAAGGAAAATTTTGAATTTCACGTATTTATGGGTGAATATGTGGTTGAAAATGAATTTTGAAAAAAAAAAAAGATTTGAAACATAAGCATAGTAACACATTCATACATACAAAACAATTCTAATTACTTAGGGTCTGTTTGATTGTAAGAATGAAATTTGGGTGAAAAGAAAACGAATTTCAGGGAATTAAATTGCCTAGAACTTGATTTACTAAAAATTGTCAATTAAATGTGTTTGATTGGTATAATTTTTCAACTTGAAAATGTTGAAATTTTGTACCTTTTAATGTTCGTTTGACTTTATTGTTCATGAAAATTATCAATTAAAGATATAAAATTTGTTACAATTGTAAATAAAATTTGTTTCTATTGCCAAAAATTAAAAAAAGAAAAGCGGAAAACACTTTTTCACCAAAACAAAAGAAAAACAAATTCCTTAAAAACCAAGAAGAATAGTTATATGGGGGATAGGGTGGAAAACCAATTCCATAGAAAATTTTGCTCCTCATCAAACAAAACATGAAATTGGCTTGTATCAAACAGCCCCTACATTATATATTTTCCCGTTTATCAATAATGCCCTTAGTTATAAAAATATTTTAAATGTCAATAATTAATTGTTATATAATACCTCTAAAAATTTAATATAATTTAATGTCGTTCACTCACTTGTATATAAGTTGCATAAACTATAATTTTATATTAAACAAATTAAGTTATTCTTTTATTAGTTGAATTTATCTTAAATCTACACCTACAATCGAATAAAACAACAACATAATAGTAGTAAACGGATTGTCCATTTGCAATCTTTTGGTTACTGTAGCTTAATAAGTAATTATTTTCGATTGTTCTTGTCAAGTAAACCAAATGATGCAGGAGGATCCAAGTCAAGTGATGCTGATTTGTCAGATAGCACGATGATGGCGCTGAGATACCATGAGATGGCGAATCGGCGTAAAGATGGAAAGTGAATCACCATTATTTCCATAATTGGGGGAATTTGACGCGTTTTTGGTAATTTGGCCATAACTTTTGCTATGGTTATCGGAATCGCTATTATGACCCCAATTCGGAAAGCTCTCTTCGGCGCGCACGTCGTGGCCACTCAGCTCTGCTCGGTGGACGTCAATTTCAAGTCCAAAATCCACTATTTTCCTTTCCAAAATTCAATTTTAAATTATTTTTTACTATTTATGGTAATATTTCGTTTCCTTTTTTTCCATATGTTAGAAAACTCGAATTGAGCCAAATTTTTGGCAACTTACTTCTTTTACTTAATATTTTATTTTGGTATAATTTTGGGATTTTGCCATTTTTGGTAATTTTTCCATAATTTCGTATTTCGCAGCTATTTAACCCGGCTTGTGGATTAGTTTTCATCATTCTGCGTTATTAATAATATTGAGTTGAATTCAAAGTATTTTCTCTGATTTTTTGGACGTTTTCTGTCGTTCTTTTCTTGCGAATCATTTGCTACAACAAGCCAATAGGATAATCACTATCCTACCCGGCGTCACCAAACGAACAACATCTTAACCAAAGGCGGTTAATTAGGTCAAATTATTAGATCGAAAACATGCCTATTCCCCACCACATGTTAGTATAATGGACATTACTAAATAAGATTTGGAAACGACAAAATTGATAAATAAGAAATTCGTCCACTGCTTAATGCTTGCGCTAGTGACATAATTAATGTATTAGACTCAATAAAAATGAATAAATAAAAATGAGAAACAAATTGTCATTTATATTGTCCAGTCGAGCAACATGTTTATCTCACAAAGTCGGATGAGATTAGAACTATTCTCTGACAAGCAGTCAAGTTGGGGGATTAAATGCAAGTCCCTATTTATGTCTCCCAAGAAGTGAATTAGAAAATTGTCATCAAAAGAGTATACCCAATGACGGTACATTCATTTATTATTTTGACAAAATAATCCACAATTTCCACTTAAAAGTGAAAAGTAGCACGAAAAAAAATGACTTTTATAAACAGAAGTCTACAAAATGTAAACAAAAAACAGTGGATAACTGGAAATAAGGAAACGTTCATCCTACACATGAATTTGACTAGTATTTTTGACAAATAATCGTGTCTTTTAGATTAAGCAAATCCAACGATCAGTATGTCACGCTCTCCTTGGAAATAATAGTTGCATTCACAAAACTTACTAAAATATGACTTAAGTGCTCACACTTTCTTTTATGGCTTATTTGGTAAGGTAGATTGGAAAATTTCATCCATATCTACTTATGGTTTGTAAATTACCACAAAACAAGGAAGGAGAGCTCTTGGACTAAGCAAGTAGAGTTCTTCAATATTGGAATGGAGACCTAATTTCCCAGCCAATGAATCAAATCCTGATTGACCAGCCAATTCTTGGACATTTTCTAATGGCCTATGAACTCTGCCTGCTATAACTCTGCACACTATTAGAGCCTTTCTTATATAAGGATTTTCATCATATACTTGGATTGATTCAAATGCTCTACTACTTGTCGAAGCTGTGAATACTCCAGCATTACCACCATTTAGTCCTCTTTTCAATGAAAACCCATGTCTCAGAATTCGACAAACAGGACATTTAGCCGCTGTACAAACGCTAGAGGAGCCATTGATGCCCAGATTGCATTCAAAAGTTGCTCCATAGAACCTTAAAAGCTCATTACCATCGGCTAGGCAACGAGGATGTTTCTTGGGAAGTTTGCTTGCTTTGATCTTAACTAATTCTCTGTACTCCTCGAATTGTGCTAGTGTTTTCTGCATGTTGTGGACCTTCAAAATCCTCTCAATTCCACCACAATTGCTATCTGGCTTTGTGCAGTTCATCCGGCAAATTATTTCAACTATTTTTCTTGAGGACTCTCCTTCAAAAAGTTCAGTAACTGCACCGAAATTTTGAAAAATTTTAAAATTTGAAATTTTCAAGTATTTTAAAAAATAAAATTCCAACCTTTTCTTTGTAATTACGTTCAAAATTGATCAATTGTATAGATTCAAGGAGAATTCTGGCAATATGCAGGTCTTAATGCAACAAAATTGTGACAGGAGAAATCATGTGCAAGAGAAAAAGTAAAAGAAAGATTACTAGATGCAACTCTTCTTGATCGACTACATGATTAATCTTATGCGACGAAAGCATGAAAGCACAAGTTACCGGCATGTTTGGAGAGGTAATGTTCTTCGACGGCGTCCCATTTACCAAATTGCTCACCACATTTATGGCAAAATAAAGCCACGTTAGAATCTGCACCATAAGAGGCCCTAGGCCTTGTGGGAATTACCCCAAATCCAGAAGTCCTCCTCGAAAGGCTACTAAATGTCCTTATAGGACTAGCCAATCCTTTAGGCTTATTTCCCTTCAGTCGCCCCGGGCCCGGAGTACCCGGCTTCAGCATGCCCAAAAACGTCAAACCACCATCGACGCCACTACTGCCGCCGCCACCACCTTCTTGGAAACCATATCCAGCAGTTATCTTTAGTTCACAAGTTGAATTACTTAACATCACTTCATGTGTTATTGGATTCAAAAGTTCACTACTTCCAATGGATCTTGGACTACAAATTTGTGGCTTTTCTGTATGTCTCTTGCTTCCATGAATTACATCTTTCAGATTTGCAATAGACCTAGAACATCCTGACCGTCCACTGCCTGATTTTCTGGTCGATATATGGCCCAGATTCCCAATCCCCTTTGGATCATAAACGTCCAATGGATCTGATTTGCATTGCAAAGATCTCTTCAAAGCAAACCAAACTGCAGGCATCTCAATTCTGTTTGCTTAGAGCCTTCTTTCTCTTAAAATTCTGAAATGGATTTGTACAGTCGACCCCAAATTTATAGCATCAGAATCAGAAGAAAACAAACAATGAAAGTAAGGAATTCTTGTTCCATATTTAGTTTCTTAAATTAGCAGAGAAAAACGACATATTAAGGCTAATTGTTGCTTTCTTGGACTAGACATAGACACAGTTGGTCAATATATGCATGTAAATCTTAATTTTTGGCAACTTCTAATGATACAATATTTGCACTAAAACCAATATGCGTCATAAATTTCTGATCGGAGGAAAATATAATTTTGGAAGAGTAATGCTATTCACTTTGGAAGGTTATGGTCCTAGATTGATAGAGAGAGAGAAATAGAGAGATATATAGAGAGAAACTTCAATATACTCCTTTTGATGGGAATTAAAATAAGATTTTTAGTATATTTTGATAGAAGTTGATGAAATATGTGGTTGAAAAGTTATGGGGTTCATAAAATGTATGACTGAAATGAATTGTTGATTTTGACTTAAATTAAAATATAAATTTTAGCCCTTGTTTGAGCCCCATTTTTCGACCAAAATACATTTTTCAACAGTAATTTGACATCATTTCAACTACACATTTTTCAATAAAATAATATTATACGCAAATCAAAAAAACTTTCTTATTTTTTAACCACACATTTCCCATCAATACACTATTCAAAAATTCATTTTCTTCACAAAAAATGGGCTCAAACAAGGGCTTAATTTGTACCAAAAAGGGCTATATAAAGGCTACTGATGGTATGAAGGTGTTGAATGGCAATTCCAAAAATAAATATAAGATAGGAAATTAAGTTAAATAGTATTATTTTTACGTTCCATAAAATTTGACCTATTTAGGACCGTTTGTGTCCAATAACACTTCTTTATCATGAAAATTAAAAAGTAACGACCTAAATATCAATAAGCAAGAATGCAACATCTATTATTCACTTGGTATGTTTTTTCTGGACGAACTGAATCTATTAGTCATGTACAGTTTATTAGCTGTTATATATTAAGTGTGTGTTTGAGCCACATTATTTTAGAAGAATGTATTTTGGACTAGTATATTGATGAAGAATGCGTTGTTAAAAAATGAGAAAAAATTTTGAATTTACGTATAATATTATTTTGTTGAAAATGTGTAGTTGAAATAATATCAAATCGTTGTTTGAAAATGCATTTTTTTGAAAGAATGTGGCTCAAATAGAGCCTAAGCTTTTATTGGCCCCCATTTTTTCAAAATTTCATTTTTTTTCAAAACTCATTTTCATGTACACATTCTCCTATAAAATAATTTTAAATGCAAATTTAGAATTTTTTCTTATTTTTTAATTACACACTCTTCAATAAAATATTATTTCAAAATATATTTTGACAAAAAAAATGAGGCTCAATCAGGCACTAAGTGTCAACCTTACTCGTTTAATTTAAAAATGATGGTGCGTGTCTGATTTTCAGTTATAAGGTAAATATTGCTGGTAGACGGGGAGATGTAAATGGACAACGATCAACAAGTTACTAACCTATCTCTAGCCATATTCGAGTTTCTATAAGCAATAACCACTAAAATTCCGAAAAGTCCAACCCAATCTTGTTTTCTCAAAGGTGCCACGTGGTACTGATATTTATAGAAAGGATTGATTTTCCGAGCTTAAAAAATGAGGGCCCGAGCCCCATTCATATACAACTAATTCATTAAATACTGAGGAATAGATGCATTTTTCCTGCTAGTTGAAATAGAAAGAGACAGCTCAAGAAGCCCTATTGCCCTAATCCTATGGTCGGGGTTACAACCCGCCACTAAATGCGCAGTTAGTCCTTTATATCAATTTCAACTATTAACGAAAATAGTCAGAAAGAACACTTTTTTATCTGTACACCGTAACTCTTATTCTTTATCTGAACTTAAGGCAGATGACTAAAAGAAGGATGTCTTTGTAGTATCTGCCCACATGCATCAGATAGTTTTTTCACATAAACTAAACTATTAGAACGCCTCGTCCACAAACTAATAATTCTAATCATTGTTTGATGATGTTTATATTTTAAGAATGTCCGGACAAGTTTGAACCCGATGGATACGTGTTGTATGAAAACCCTCAAGTCCAACCCCTTGTCGATGTGAGGTGGCGTGAGGAGCATGAAACGAACGGTGGAAAATCAGAACTTTCTTAGTCTACACTAATTATTTATTTGGATAGCTTTATAGACTAGTTGGACGTGACATGATCTGTTTTTGTTAGAATGAACTTAATATGTTAGAATTCTGCTATAAATACAGGGTTTTTTCACAGATTATATACATGAAGATAGCTAGATTATATATAGGGAGACAGATAAAATCTGTGAAAAACTCCTGTACTTATAGAATTATTGATATTGTTATGACTATTGACATTTTAAAGTGGATTTCAGGTTATTATTAGTAATAACTTGATGATGTACATCCATATACAATCGATATAGTGTTTATACTAATTCCGTTCTTTGAGCTAGCACTACTATTTCGGAAACTGAAGATTGCTTAAGCAAAGAAAAGTTTCCCCTTGATTGAGCGTGTTCTCGATTAGTGGGAGTACCACATGTTGATTATTACAACCTTTTTATTTCATTTTTTGTAGGACAAAAGTGTTTTTTAGGTTTCTAGTGTCGAATACTAAATTTAAATATATGTCATCAAGTTTGATATAATAAAATATAGTTTATTGGGCGACTGAAAATCTTGCTCCTGTAGGATATGCTGCAAGATTTGGATTTACTCTAGCCAAAGTTCAGTAAGCTAACCTTTGTATAGCATCAATTGCCTTCATATGTTAATATATGACCTATGAGACTTGATTCTGGACGTGACAAATTAACTATTTCGACAACACATACTTTATATGTAATTAAATGTATACATCAGTATAGTCAAGTTAGAAACTAGAAAAGATATCATTTATCTTTTACCATAATGTTACCTAAGATTGGCAGATCGTCTCGGAAAATTTATGCACCAACTAAATGATAAATCACCATATTAACTTTATAAAAATCAAATAAATACACATTATTCCAATTCCAACGTTTTTAGTTGGTTCTAAACTCTCAAAAATAGAAGATTCATCATCAATAGAAAATTGAGGCCAGATATCACAATAATGGGACATAAACACTCGGACATTAATTCACTAATTCAGTATTTAATTATTCATATTTTGTGCTTGTTTTTTTCTTTCTAGGGACCCCTACTTTAATGTACACATGACAATTCAAGAAAAGAAACAATAGATACAATCATTTATGAGATATTTAATTATTCCTATCAACCTGTGGTCATGATGCACATTAATTAGGCACATGCCCCCTCCCCAAAATTAAAGGAGTTGGATCGTTCAGAAATTAGGTGGAGGAATGACTTGGAAATACTTAATGTCAAGTTTATTTATAACATGTACGAATATTTTTTGACGATTCGCCGTGAGTTTCGGCGTTCAATTGCATCTTTATAGGTTCTAAATAAAATATTATATATTACGTTTACCCTGACCATTTCATTTAAAAGTTTAGATTATTATGTGGGTATACATATTTTTCAAATTTAAATTTAATGCCTAAGCTATTAAAAGAGTATGAGTGAGGGCAGAGTGTTTGTGTTCCATGTTTATTCATTTAAAATTAGTCTTCAACATGAAATATTTAACTTAAGTGGTGTTACCGATCGGCTCAAGCACTGCATTGAGCTCTTGCAGTATAAAGTGGCCTGGCTTGGAAAAATAGAAAAAGGTCCTCACAAGCCTCCATGGTTTAGACGGCTCGATCCAAGTTTCTACTGCTAGCCTAATACTGGCGATAGATGCATGTAACATGGTCGCTAAACATCCAAGTATCCGCAAGTTAATGGCAAATGAGTAACTAATCTTTTCTTGGGTTAGTTAAAAGTCAGAAGTAAATTAAAAGGCATGTTGAACTCTCTTCTAATTCTTGACTCAACAGCTATTTCTTTTTAAGTTATAGTCTGATTTATTTTATTTTTGAAGAGTCAAGTTTTTAGCTTTAAATAATTGTTTCCTGTCTGCATTTTTCTCACATTCTCCTATACCTAACACAATATTCCCGTTTTCCAATGATTTAGATTAAATCATAAATTATATCTTAAAAAGGGCAAAAAAATGACGGTTGAACCGGCCTACCTTGCAATATTGGCAGTCCGAGGACGGGTTCATTTCTAAGATTTTGAAGATGGTATAGTCTTCATTTGAACCATAAAATTAAATGGGCACATTCAAACCTTCAACGAGCCTAAGGGCAACTCCAATGTTAACACCATTGCACCAAATTGTACCATTTTTTTGGTGAAAAGTTGATTCAATACAACACTAAACTTTGCACCATTTTGGTGCAAAATGGTTAATAATATTGCATCATTTTGCTATTTTTTATCCTTTCCCAAATAAATTTGTTAAGAGTATTTACGTCATTTGTGCTATATATTTTTTAATACAATAAATTATCATTATTTTTATTATTATTTGCATTTAAAAAAAATTTATATGTTAGAAATAATAATTAATTAATTAATTAAAAGAAGAAAAAAATTCAAATATAACAAACACGATTATTTATTAAAGTTAACACGAAATATATTAAACAACGACATACATACGGTAATCTAATTTTATTTAAACAAAACGATACATAAAAAAGAAATTATTTAACGTAATACATATGATTTTTTATATTTATTAATGAATTTAATCTTTTTCGTAATTTAACGTAATTATTTATTTAGTAATTTATGTATTTATAGAATAAATAAATAAATAATATGTCAAATAAATAAATTATAAAGAATAAAAAAATGGAAGAAAATGGTTAAATACTATTCATTTGGTGTAACTTTTGGTGTAATGGTTGGAGATGAATTTTAGTTTGATGTAAGATTTGGTGCAAAATAGTGCAAAATTTGGTGCAGTGCTGGAGATAGCCTAACTCGTCCATTTTGAGACCCCTAGGACAAGGTGAGAGTGGGACTGATCAGATTGCAAAGAGTGGATTATGCTATTCTTTTATCTGGTCTAGTTTCTGTTTTCTTTTTTATTTGGTTTTCATTTAATTCATTGTGTTTATCCATCATAGACCAATTGTAGAGTTTGGACTTGGGCTTTTAAAATTCTTGAGCCTTACCACCATGTTACTGGAACAGTTGATATCATGATGAAACCCGACCCTAGTGACTGGTCCAGTAAAATGAAGATTCAAGAAT